TCACCTTCATCAAGCAACAGTTTGTTTTATTTCCCTTTTTGTGATGGTCAATTTTATGTGTCAACTTAATTGGCCAAGGGGTGTCCACATTAAACATTATTTCTGGGTATGTATATGAAGGTGTCTCAGGATGAGATTCTCATTTGAATCAGTGGAATCAGTAGATTTCCCTCTTCATTGTGGGTGGACATCAGGCAATCTGATGAGAGCTTGAGTAGAACAAAAGTAAAAAGGAGGAATTTTTCCCTCTTTTCCTGCCTCATTTTTGAGCTAGACATCTCATAACTCTCTGGCCCTCTGACTGAAATTTATACCATCAGCTCTCAGGTTCTCTGGCTTTTGGACTTGGTCTGAATTATACCACCATTTCATTGGTCTCCACCTTGCAGACAGCAGATGGTAGAACTTTTCAGCCTCCATATTCGTGTGAGCCAATTGCTCATAATAAATCCCTCTCTCTCTCTCTATCCAACCTACTAGTTCTGTTTCTCTGGAGAACCCTGACTATATACTTTTCTATAGATATGTTATACCTCCTAACCTAATCTGGTCATGATCCCCCCTTGAGATGGAGTGAAAAGTATAAAGACGCATCTATGAATATTACACAAATTAACCATACTGTTTTAGTAAGCCCCCTAAAATCCACTTAAGATACAGAAGTCCTTTGCTGCATCCAATTAGTACAACTTAAAAACATTTTATTTATACTTCTCTATTAAAGCATGCTTACTTTTCTCCCCAAATTAACAGATATTATAAAATCTAAGCAATAGTCATGAATATACATAATGAGTTAAAGTTGTTATATTACAAAATGCATTTAATCCAATTTGTTTGAAATTTTTAAAAAACTGAGCAGAGCTGTAATTCACTGTAAAAGAATAAAATAGAAAACTAAAAAAGTGACTAAATTTTAAAAAGAGAAAAAAATGAAGCAACAGATTCTCAAATCATGAGAAAAAAATATCACTATTCAAAGAACTGAACAAGATTACTGATCCAATTTCCTGACACACTCTGATTCTTACTAAGAAATATAATCTTTGAAGACAAAACAAAATTATATTTTTAATTAATTATCCTTCTATATATTTCATTAGCCTGAATGTTACCTTTTAGGACTAGCAGATACATAAAAAGGACTGCAAAAGGAGATAAAAATCTTATTCTTAAGTAACCTTTAGATTTTGAAAGCTAAGTTTCCAACAATCTCAACCTAATTCCAAACTTTCTGCTCTGTCTTTGATATTGTTACTGTTTTGCTACCTTATAGTTCCTAAAATATACTATGATTTAAATAAGCTAAAATATATTCCTGAAATATAATGAATAAAAAGTTGCATTGTTTTTGTACAATGAATTCTCTTTTCATTTACTTTCTCTATACTTTCAAACGTTCAGAGATGTATTTCTCTCATAGTTTATAGCTGAAAGGACCACAAAAAGACTATAAATAGTTATAAGTATGTTTGGCACTTTCTGGTAGCTGGTTGCCTGAAAAAGAGTAGAGAAATAGCGTGTGTGTGAGGTATTTCAGAGATCCATATAACAGGGCATTTTTCTTTTTAGAATATAACTGCATTCATTGAATGCACAGAAGAAAGAAGTTTATGAAGTAATATATCTTCTGCCAGTGTTATGTTTTTTTTCTTATTATGCTAAAAGTATACTCTATGGAATTAAATGCAACCAATATATTTTGGTCTCTAGAATAGACATAAAAATGTGTACTGTAAGATATCTCTGACATGTTACAGAAATAGTATCTAGTACTCTACACTTATTCTAATAGTAAATTAACTCCTGTAAACAAATAAGCTCTTGAAATATTTCTAATACTAAAGTCACATGGTTTGCCCCAGAAAAATGATGTTCCTTGTTGTAGTAGTTACCAGGATTTACCAGAGAAAGAATGATACAAAAAGTATGGGCGATGAAAATGAAGACGAAAGATGTCCATTATAATTAATCATTTTTAGTTAATATCCTTGTATCCAAGTTTCTGAATTACTTGTAATGAAGCTACTTTCTTTTCAAGACATAATAGGAATTTGACTCATGAAAATAAAGTGAGATGTGCAGAGAAAGATCCAATCAAAATTTTATATATAATTTTTTTATGTTACCTATAAGAAAAGGATATTGTTACACCCTTAAGTTTAACCAGGTACTACTAATTAATGTCAAATAGCATCATTTCTCACCCAATATAGCCAATGTAAAAGCATTATCTTCATTCACACTTTCCAATATGTTCCCAAGTCCTGCGTCCTTTGTACTGGGTCTTTCTGATGTACATGTGTATTCTGCCTCTGTGTCTTTGCTTTTGTTCTTGCCTGAATAAACATGCCCATTTTTTCAAGGTCCAACTCATGTCCTATATTCTCTACAAACGTCTTGAAAAAACACCTGAATTGACTGATTTCTCTGCTTAATTGATAAGCACATTAAAATGTAAATTATTTGTAAGCCAAAAATCCTTTTAAAATGTTAAGAGTAAGGCACCTTTTTTGAGTACCATGCAACTGGAGGCACTATGTCACTTAATCTACCCAACAACCCTATAAAGTTGGTACTAATATTCATTTTATAGATAAGGAAATCAAGTGTTAAAGAGATTAGTTTTCACAAAGATACACAGCTAGCAAGTGGCAAAAAGCTTAAATTCAAACCCAATGCCATTTGGTTCCAAATCCCATGAAAAAAGTACATTCCATGAAATACTATTAAGGTCAGTGTGTCAATTCTTACTGACAATAAAGGTTAATGCACCACTCAAAATACCTAAATTTTACCTACTCTCTCAAAGGAAATTCTCTTTTAGGCTTTTTAATCAACAGTATTATTGACTGACTCTATAAAATGCTGTTCATGAAAGTTCACTGTAAGAGGTCTAAAGTATTCTTACCTTCTAAATAGTACATAAAAATTACAATGCTTTCACATGCATTCTATTATAGAAAATCTTTTAGAATATTAGGATAAAACAGAAATTAAGAACCCATTGTTTAATAATGTGATAGACTACCTACATGAATAATACTGTATTTTTATTTTTGATTCTTCATGTTAATGAATAATGATTACAAAAATAACTCAAAATTAATTCATTAGAAATGGTTTTACAGTCCTATTTAAATGAAATTCTATTTTACTTATTTCAAAAAGGATTTGAAACAGCTCACAATTAAGAGTAATTATGATCTGGTAATGTGCAACACAAAAGTAATGAGACCACATGGATCATCTTTCCCCAAAACTTCTGAATTACTTCAACATTTTTACTAAACTAAAAGATTCATAAAGTTATAAAGTAAACAAGAAAATATGACATTTCAATTATGACTAATTCAAATATTAACTAATACCAAGGATTTAATAGCATTTTTCTGGTCACTAACCTTAGGGCTATATGTCTTAAAATATTGATAAAATATTATGCATTTGATATGCGAGTGACTATTTTTGTTTGTAAGTATAATTCTAGAGGTTAATTTTATTCTATTCTTCTCTGCAAGATTTAGACCATACTGTATTATCTTCAGAGAAAATATCAAGTCCATTTTGTATAAACTTGGAAGATTTAAAGCCATTTCAGACTTTTCTCCCTCATCATTTGCTTAACAAACCTTCAATGAACAAGGAGTTTATGAATCATTACATAAATAATTTCCAAAAATTACTGAAGTTCTGTTAGGTAACAAAAAACTCATTTATCCACCCTAATATGACTCCTTCCTAATCACACTAACATATTCACTATTATTGTACTTGATAAGCATCAATTTCTATAGGTAGCATGCCTATAATTACCCCTAAAGACACAGACCACTATGAAAAAGTCAAATAAATGAAAAAGAAATAAAACACTACATTAACTTTCATTCAACACTAACAAAGATATTAATTTAATAATTTCTTATTTCTTCTTAGATCTCAGACACAAAAGCCAACACTTGTTTGACACTATTAAAGACTAAGATATTCCCTATCTTTTCTTTTGGAAAAGTGTACTCCAACACAATGAAATTATAAGCATGAACTGAGTATAACCCTAGATTTAGATAAAACAATTAAATATATAAATATTGACAGCAAATTTTCATATCAATTGATTGAAAACTCCCAAGTGTTTTTACTAAAATTAGTTTAGGATGCATACAAAGAGACTTCTGAGTTCCCATGTTATTTCATCCTAATATTCTCTGAATAGTAATTTAAGCTTTCTATCCTAATCCTTATCTTAAATCCTTTTAATAGTTTTGGGGAAATATAGCATTTTCTATTTTATATGTAACCAAACCATGAATTAGAGGGTTAACCAATTTGCTTAACTTAAAAAAATTAGTAGTAATTAACGTATGTATTGAAACATACCATATTACTTCTAAGTATATCACATTTAATAGAGAAAATTCAGAGAAGTCTCTCAAGTACAGCAGCTGACAAGAATGATTCTTTAAGTTGCTTAAAAGGTTTACTGAAAGCCATGAGGAAAAACCTCTTCGTGAATCAGTTTTTGCCTGTTTCCTAAACAAACCAAACTTGTCTTAACACTTTTATATAAAAAAAGTCACACTTATATCCCTGATGAATGTAAAAGACTTTAAATCTGTTGTCTCATGAAATCATTTTTCTATATGATAATTTGGTTATGATAAGGTAAAAATAATAAAACATCTTGTTTTCCTTATGATTATCATTATAACCTCATGTGCAAATTCATTAACTTAACTGGTTTGATTTAACAAAGTACCAAAATTGAAAGAGCAAAATGAATTTTTTTTCTTACCAAACAAAAGGTTATTTTTGTTTCTTTAATTTTTTTTAATGATGTGACAATCACAAGAATCAATGTAGGTATTGTAAAGGAAGCATATGGTTTTAGAAACTAAGATAAGAAATACCCAAGTTCAGGATGAAAATATTTTATGGTAATACCTTCTTCCTGAAGGCAGCAATTATAATAAGCTCTAATAGTATTTGATCATATTTACCTGTCTCTATCTGGAGAATAATGGTTATCCATGACACGATGTCTATCCATTCGGCTAATTGTATTATAATGTCCTGTAGTAGAGCGTGTCCCTCGAAGTCCCTGTTCCACATTCCGACTGAAATAGCAAGATCCATTAAATATCTTAATAGACCATACTCACATATTATACTAAGAAACAAAGTTTATTAATAAAGATAGTAGAAAAAGACAAAAATCACTGTAATGTCAAGTCCAAGGTTTTTGTTTTGTTTTAACTAATAGGAGATTGCTGCTATAACAGAGGTATAACATAAAAGCTAATATCAATGAGGATGGAGATAAGGATTATAAAAACTATGAATGGATTACTCCCAGGTGTATAGTAGTGATAACGATATATGTAACACAGGAGGAGAAATAGATTTGTATGGAGAAAATGAGTTCAGCATGTTGCTTATAGACAATATATTGGTGGATCTTATTTTAGGGATATTAATTGCTATTTCTTTTAAAATCGAAACTGATGTCTTTAGAATTGATTAATGACTGTTTTTTTAAGCTGCCATTCTTGGCCTGGATTGTCTACTTATATACTTCTTTTTCATGACGGAATAAACCTTTTACATAAGCTCCTGTTATTACGGGCTTTCTATTATGTGTAGGTGAATCTAATCTAAAACCCATGCCAATTTTCTATTGGCATGTTCAAATATTTTTTCCCTGGTAAAAGTCAAGTATTCTTTTCTTTTTTTTTTAACAAGGAAGGACAATTTGTTAAAGCTACAAATTCAAAATCTCTTTCTCTCTTGCACTTTAAATTTCAGATTACAAATCTTATTACTCTACCTACCACATTTAAACAATTACTTTTCAGAAGACTTTTAATAATTTTAGTCCCATTTACAAATTTAGTTAATTCAACATCTTCAAACATTTTAAACTATGTTTGTTAACTTAATATATTAGATTTTCTCTTCAATTAATTGTCTAAATTAACACTTTTAAAGTCCTTAATATCATTATAAGTTGTTAAATTTATAAATATAATAAACCTTTTCTCTTAAATAATCCAATACCATGTATAAAATTAAGATTACAATTTAAAATTCTAAGTCTAAATGCCTAAAACTAACTCAATTACTCATTTAAAATAAGTGTTACAAGGCTGTCATTCTAAGAGTTCAAATTTCCTTAAACATTGCAAATATATAAAATGTGAAATTATGCACATATTTCCTGTTAGGAAACACATTATTTCCATGGTTCTTACTCCATTAAGCCTTTCTGTACTTAACTGGATTGATCAGAGTTTTCCACTAAGCATAAGAGCTGGAGTTGCAGATTTTCCAAGCAATTCTTCCCACTGCCCATGCATTCCTTTTTAGTCTTCTCATGATTGTTCTTAATTGTATAGCTCCATCAAATGTTTTTTTTTCCAATTTCTTAAATTATCAATATCATTCAAGAGTATAATTAGTTGGGTCTAACTATATCTGCTCAATATACATGAGACTGGAAGTTGGATCTTCTTTATAACTATAAAATTATATATAGGTCATCTAAAGTTACAAAGTAGCCCATATTTCATCTTACTCTCATTATATAGGCTATTGATAGCAAGTATGTTTTTCCCTAAGTAACTTTTTTCTACAATAATTTATTATCTTTGAAAATTTCCAATAATATTTTATGATAAATAGGCCTATAATATCATCTTACAAATAAAGTGTTATGCTGTCTTACCTCTGTGGAGGAGGGACACTGGGTGACCAAGATCTAGTCCTTCCTATAACATCTACTCGGTGAGGAGACCCTGATGGTGAACAATAGTTTGATGACATTACTTGTTCTGGAACTGACAGTGTTGAGCTTTGAAGATCTCGACCATTGTGTCGATAATCTAAAGGTGGAAATATTAAGATTATAGTTATCTATACACTAATATCTTTTGTATTTCACTGAAAAAACATAAAATGTTAGTGAAGTTGAAAAGCTCTGAATATACTAAATGTAAAGCATAATGAATAAAGCATAACACTAAGATACAATAATATTTTATAAACACTTAAATTGAAAAGGAAAGGCAAATATTCAAATATTTAGAGAGCTACTATGTCCAAGGCCCTATGCTAGGTAGAGTAAAACTTTTTTACACAGTTAATAATCTTCAGTAAAAGATTCAAGTTTATTCTAAAAACATTTTCATCTCTTCATTGATCTAGAAGAGCTTCAAATAGTTCTCAACAATTATAAAGGAGGGAGGCTCCAATAAAGATGTTAAAAAAAAAAAAGTGGGAGGGGATATGGGGATATATGTATGCATATGGCTGATTCACTTTGTTGTACAACAGAAACTAACACAGTATTGTGAAGCAATTATACTCCAATAAAGATCTATTTAAAAAAATTAAATAAATAAAATGATTACCTTGACAAAAAGTTTCTAATTTCTATACTCTATAGTTATTTCTTTAAGAAATAAACAATAAAATAAAGCACTCTGAATACCATTTGAAGTAAATATGTAAATTCTGATATATTCCAAGTATTTGAAGTTATCTCCAAATCCTTTTTATAAACATCAAAATCAGGACCATGGTACTGTAGTTTTTGAAATGTTATCTTTCAAATGCATTATTAAAATGTGGTATATGATGAAAAAAACATGTCTCAAAAATTACACTGGATTTCAAAGTAGCAACATATAGGATACTACAGCAGTCTTTTTTCCTCAATGGATTATTAAATGATTCACTATATAGTAAAAAAATTAATAACAACATTGAGACAAGAAACCATGATGTTTCATGGTAGTAAAAAGTAATGAACCCAGGGTAAACACTTTGAATTGTGTAGGTTTGTGAAATACTATTCTGTAACAACAAAAATTTTTCCAGAGAGTATTAACCAAAATAATGAATGATTCCTGAAAAGTTTTTTTTCAAAAGATACAGTTCCTTTAACAGAATGGAAACATAATAACATGATCATTTTTTGGTCATCCTGGAAGTAGAAAATAAAAGAATTGAGATATGCCAAAAATGGCATCAAGATAAAGAGCTTTAATGACCTGAAAGAAAATATTTTGGGTGAAAAAAATCTGATGTGGCTAGATATTTAATAAAGAGAAGAAGTTGAAAAGTCAATTAAAGGACTAGAACACAAGCAGGAGAAAACTGCTAATGCTCTCCAAGCAAGAGATCATGAGAAATATGACTTTATTAAGGTTTAATTCACAAACCATAAAACACGAAAAATATTTTTGCAGTCTTAGTGAATTAATATACTGTTAACCCTTAGTGCAAAAAAAAAAAGACTAAAAGATAGTCATTGGGTTTTTTAAAAGTAGTACACTGGTAGCATGCAAACTGACTCATATTCTATCAAAAACTGTCCAACAAAAACTATCAGTCACTGATGCAACTGAAGCATGTCTTACATACAATAAAACATATTTTGTTCATGATAATATTGGTTATGCTTATGAAATTTGCTGAGCTAATTAACCTTCAAGAAGAAGAGAATCAAACATTTTTATAATATTTTGAGTATAATATATATAAAAATTTTGCCAGAATTTATTAAAAAATAGCTACTTACCTAAAATATTAAATCATCAGATAAATTTCTAACCATAAATGAGGCAATATTTTAAACCACAATACCATAATTTCAAAATGTAGCTGCACCTGATACTAATCCACATAACAACAATGAAAAAAATGTCAAAAAAGTGGATTCAAGTATTTGACATACTTGGGTATGTTAGTGATATTAAAAAGATTTTTTTCACACTGTTAGTGAAGTATAAAGAAGTTTCAGTTATATAACTTCTCAAATTTATAGTGAAATCCTTATTACTTAGTAGTTTAAAAATAGAAAATTGGTATTACTTATGAGACATCTTTCAATAGAATATTCAATCTAAGAACTGGTACAGGTATTCCAGCAACTAGAATTATTCAGTTTAAACAGCCATAGGCTGTTTCGGGGGAGGGGGCATAAAGAGGCAAGTCCTTTGTACCTCATTATATTTATCTATCTATTTACATATTTACTGGTAAATAATGATGAGTCACACTTCCTTATTATCACTATAAAATAATTCTGAAATTCTTACCTGATACTACACCAATTCCATCATCGCAGTCATAGTCAGAGACTTCACTATCACTTATTCTCTTAGACCCTATGAAGCAAACAATAGCAATAATTAAAATTGCTGATCATTTAAGGAAAAAACCCCTCACCAACCTGAAAAACAAATGAAAGGATTTTGAATGGAATATTTGAGAATAAAAATAAGAGAGAGAGAAGAAAAGTCATTTTGACTTCACAAACACCTGTTTTTACATATATTTCATTATGTGAGGGTATTATTTTTGAAATGTATAAGATAAAGTTCCTAAAAGGATTAAAGCCTGAAATAATATTAAATATTAAATAATACATGTTAGTGATTTGATGCTGATTGATAAAATCTATTGGACAAAAAGTCGAGTCAAAAATAGCTCAATCAGGTCAGTTTTAGATGCTTTTAGACAAAGGCATTTAAATCTAGTAAACTTCAAAATACAAACAATGTTATATTCAAAGACATTCATGTGTCTTTTTCTAATATGCATGACTAATGAATTAAATATACCCAATTCTTTAATCTTTATTTTTCACACTCATGGAGAGGAAGCATAATTTAAGACATCTTAAATGTCCTTCCCTTACTATTACTTTAGTTGTTTTCTGTTGCTCTGAGAAAAATACGAGAAATAAGTCATCCACAAACTGACTTACACATTGTGAACTGTGTTATGTTTTCTAAGCAACAACGTAAGACAGAACAATAATAATTACTATAATTCAAGAGCCCTGTGTCTGTTTTCCTTACAACACAAATCTATAACAAAACTTTAAAAGGTTAATCATGCTATGGCAAAAATAACATTAAATTGAATTAAGTAGAGCTTTGATGGCTAAAGCAGACTGTCTTCACACTTAATGATGACATATATCACATATATAAATAAACATGTTATAATTTGTTTTTTAATCTATCTTTTCTCCTACATGTATCTCAGGAATAGGCACACCTTACATAAGAGAATCTTTTATTTAAAGCATTTTTCCCTTCTTTGGTATCAGAAAATATTTAATGATAAATGAAGACAGTGCTGCTATTTCAAAAGAGAACTTGTTTTGTCCGTCTACTTACATAATTCATTACTCATTACATAGACTAAACTCTGTTATCAGAAAATAAATACTTTCCTGTAAGGTTTATAAAACACTGAAAGCTCATGTTGCATAAAATAGCAATAATTAAAACGTTCTAAGAATGCCCTCCAACATTTGCAACCTCCCCTTAGAAATACTCTCTCTATATTTTGTTGTAATCCCTGCTTTCTTGGGAGAGGGAGAGTCTTTCTTTTTTGCCAGGAACTGCAGTTCTTGTTTTTTTTTCTCCTTTTAATGTTTAGGTAATACCTATCTTTTTTGGTCATTTTGTCCCACTGAGTGTACTCACTAATATTTTCCTTCCAAATCCATATGTCATAAAGTTTTGGACCCAATTGAATCTGAGGCTCTTATAGCACCAGTTAATATGGAAACTACATTACCTGACAACATCCCAACAGAATGCTCACAAAAGGATGTATAGAATTAGGACATACATTCTAAATGAACTTGGGAGAAAGGAGGGATAACACAGATGAGGCTATTGAGGAGAGACAAGAAGAATTGCTCAGCTTGTAACAAGATTTCACCTTGTAAATGATCAAGGACAAAGCAATGATTAGTTTAATGTGCCAGGTACAGTACAGAGCATAAAGATTACATGCTTTTCATATTGGTCAAGGATCAGATCTGCCTTTAATGTAAAATAAGAATGACACCAGCAAAAGATGAAGTTCATTTTATCAGCCTTTATGAACCGTCTTGTGTGTGAGGTGTGGGTGAGAGTGGGAGGTGAGGTATATATGTGGTTTGTAAATGTTACTTCCTTTCAGAATCTTGATTACTTTCCTGATGGAAGTCTTGACCTATTTTGATATTAATCCTATAGAGGTTAAATATATTGCAGTTATGTTCTATGTGGATCTTGTCACATTCTGATGAAATCAAGTACTTAAGTTTAGTGTCACTGAATGGATCAATCTCTTAAAGAGAAGAAATTTTAGGGGCTTCCCTGGTGGTGCAGTGGTTGAGAGTCTGCCTGCTGATGCAGGGGACATGGGTTCGGGGCATGCCCCAGTCCGGGAAGATCCCACATGCCGCAGAGCGGCTGGGCCCGTGAGCCATGGCCGCTGAGCCTGTGCGTCCGGAGCCTGTGCTCCGCAACGGGAGAGGCCACAACAGTGAGAGGCACGCATATCGCAAAAAAAAAAAAAAAAAAAAAAAAAAGAGAAGAAATTTTAAAATTTCTTTAAGAAATTTCCTGAGCTTGTATACAAGCACAGAGATACCCTTATTTTCTTCTGAAAGTTTGAAATTTTTGCTCTGTGCATTTATATCCTATCCATCTTGAACTAAGTTTCTGTACGGCATGAGATATGGATGCAACTTCACTTTCTATATGGATAACACGTATCTCAGCATTGTTTATTTAATCATTCTATCTTTCCACAATGATCTGCAATGTCACTTCTGTTATAAATAAATGTATTCTATCTGCTAGGATTTGTTTGGTGCTCTACTTTTTTTTCCTTGTACAGGCTGTCTATCTATAAACCAGTAACTCACTGTCTTTGTTATTACAATGTTATATATTGAAAAGCAAATCCTTTACCTAATTATTCATATATTTGATATTTCTCCTTTGCTCTTCCATTTAAATTTTAGATTCAGATTATCAAACTGCACAAAAAACATCCTATAGGGATTTTGATTTGAAATGCATTGAATCAATACATCAATTCAGGGAGAAATGGCATATTTTACAGCATTGTTTTACTAACCATGAACATGGCATTCTCTTCATTTAAGTTTTCTTTAAGATCTCTCTATGAAATTTTTAACTTCGGTCACTCAAATTTTCCACATTTGTTGGATTTATCCTTTGTATCTTATCATTTCTATTGCTATTAGGAATACTGTTAAAATTATGTTTTCTAACCTAATTGCTCATAAACAGAAATGCAATTTTATTGTAAAATAATGTTAATCAACCATCTTGTTAAAGTCTCTTTTTTTCTTTACTTCTAATAAATTTATTATGGTTTAATTGGAATTTTTCTGTGGAGACAATTTACTTGCCAGTCCTAATGCCTTTTTTCTTTCTTTTTCCTGTCTTTCTATGCTAGTAAGCCTAATACTGGAAAGAAACAGAGAAAGTTTACAGTTCTTTCTAAATTCTGATTTTAAATAGAATTTTTCTAATATTTATACATTTAAAGTGATATCTGCTGAATTTACATTCTGTCAGATTGAGGAAGGTCTCTTATAAGTTCAGTGATATTTCATAAAGGATTTTCAATTTTTATTTACAATTCATTCTGGCCTGTTTCCTTCCTGTACTAACCTTTTGGTTTAGAAGCAAGGTTACACTAGCCCAACTAAATATTGAGAATTAGTCCTTTTTTATTCTCTGGGAGAATTTGTGTAGATTAAAAAAAAAAAAATCTGTTCTTTGAAATTTTGAGAGAATTAATCTAGAAAATTACCATGGCCTGGTGTTTCCTTTGTGGGTATATTTTAAATTGCTAATTCCACTTTTTGGTATATGTAGAATGACTTATTAATTCAAGGTTTAGTAAATTATATATTTTACAGGAATTTGTTCACTTTGTGTAAGTTTTCAAAGTGCTTGCTACAATGTTTAAATTTTATTTTATAATCTATTTTCTGATATATCAATTATACATCCATTTGAATACTAACCGTACCTTCTTTTTATTTCTTCACTGCACGTTTTTTTATTTTTGGTACGCGGACCTCTCCCGTTGCGGAGCACAGGCTCCGGACGCGCAGGCTCAGCGGCCATGGCTCATGGGCTCAGCCGCTCCGCGGCATGTGGGATCTTCCCGGACCGGGGCACGAACCCGTGTCCCCTTCATCGGCAGGCGTACTCTCAACCACTGTGCCACAAGGGAAGCCCACTACAGGTTTATTTTGTAATTCACTTAAAGGATTAAATTTTGGGCTCCATAATCCTAACTAGAAATTTGTTTCTTGTTTTATTTAGGTTTTTGCTCTTATTGTTAGGATTTCTTTCCTTCTATTTTTAATTTATTTCATTATTCTTTTCCTAAAAAACTGAATGAGTACATCATAATTTTCAACCTTCAAACGCTTTGTTAACATAAACATTCTCCCCCCAAGTACTTCTTTGCATTACACAAATATTTGTACGTAGTATATTCATTAAAGTTCAGTTCTAGGTATTTTCTTCTTGGGCCTATAAGATATTTACCATACTTCATTAAATTTAAGACACTATTAACTGAATAATCCATGACAGTTGCAGAGATAATAGATCTTGAAAAAAATGTTCTTTAGAGTACAAGTTTATTTTTAAAATTTATCAAATGTATGGGTATAATTTATCTCTTTTTAATAAAAATTACATAGTAACACTCTAGTTGAAGAAAATAGCCTACAGCACAACAATTCTTTGAAATTTGTCAAAAAATGAATTATTGAATAGTACATTAATAATTCTTACAAGTGTTTCATGGACATAACAGATGAATATGAATTCATCAAATGTTAGGTTCAGAGTTCTTTGACCATGAGATTAAATTTGTTAATTCTGTGGTTTCTCTTCTATTGTCCCTAAATTTTTGTTTGCTTGACCAATAAATGATTGAGAGAGAATTATATTAGACTCTTCTTTAATGGTGGTACATTTGTTGATTTTTCTCTCTAGTTGTAATTTAATGCTTATTGAAGTTATTTCATTTATACATGCAAGTTTAAAATTATTTTAATAGGCGTAAAAAAATCATGTGAAAAAGTTTAACCCCCATTCATGATAAAATGTATCAGCAAACTACTGAGAAGGAAACTTCCTCAAACTGATAAAGGGCATCTACAAAAAACAAATCAAAGGATTATACTATTAAAACTGTAAAAAGGGCATCACTATAATCAATATAGAATTAAAGACACTAAAGTTTTCAAACTGTAGCTCTTTCTCCACAAATAGTTTAAAGTACCTAATATTTTAAAATGACCTTAGAGAGTGAATATGAG